TTTTTTTTTTTTTTTTTTTTTTGGAGACAGAGTCTCATTATGTCACCCTTGGTAGAGTACCATGGTGTCACAGCTCACAGCAATTTTAGCTTTAGCAATTCTCTTATCTTGGCCTCCCAAGTAGCTGGGACTGCAGGTGTCTGCCACAATGCCCAGCTATTTTGTGTTGCAGTTGTCATTGTTGTTTAGCTGGCCTGGGCTGGGTTCAAACCTACCAACCTCAGTGTATGTGGCTGGCACCATAACCACTGTGCTACGGGCACTGAACTAGCATATGCTCTGCTCAACTTTAAGTCTTAAAATCAGCACAAAATGTTACCTGTGTGATCCATAAAGAATCAGTAGAAAAGAAACCAAACTGAGCCTCTTATCTACTTATCCCCATTTCATGAGATCTGAGAGTCTTGATCATAGACAGTGTTTCTGTCCCTAATTAAATTATGCTTGACCTTGTTCTTAGCACACAGGGATGATCAACTCTACAATAGCCATGCCAGTGATGGCTCTGAGTAATTTATTCTGAAACAATTCCATTTCCTTGCACTGACAAGTCAAAGTTATGCCCTTGTTCTCATTTTACTTCAGTTTCTTTTTTCTTTTTTAGAGACAGAGTTTCACTTTATCACCCTCGGTAAAGTGCCATGGTGTCATAGCTCACAGCAACCTCCAACTCCTGGGCTTAGGCGATTGGCTTGTCTCAGCCTCCTGAATAGCTGGGACTACAGATGCCCACCACAATGCCTGGCTATTTTTTGTTGCAGTTTGGGTGGGGCCGGGTTCGAACCCACCACCCTTGGGTATATGGGGCTGGCACCCCACCCACTGAGCATAGGCACCTCCCTCTACTTCAGTTTCTATTCTTTAACCTGCATGGCCAAAACACACTGAAGGAAAGCCAATTCAGGGACAAAATTCTTTTACTTCTACCCCAAAGTTTTCTACACTGTATAATTCTGGGAAGTAGACCGCTAATAATGTATGATGTCACCCTGGAATGGATTCCTACTGTTTTCTCTTTTTCTTTTAAAATAGAATGGCATATGCAAATCCCTAAAATCTTCTAACACCAAATCACCACTCAAAGGTTAGCAACTTCTCCAACCATAAATTCCTGGGTAGTACATCTACATGAGCAACTTTCTCATGTGTTAACCGACATATGACATCTCCTTCAGAGAAAAAAAGTCTAGTTTGTAAGGGAAGATACCTCACTAGGGGGAAAGGAGCATGGTAGAAAGTAGCTAATAGGATGGCAATCCAACTCTTACTGACGACAATGACCCAAAGGCCCTACTCAGTCTCAACCTTTCTTGGGAAAAGAAACATGATATAGGGGCCTTGGAGTCAGAAAATCTGGCTTTCAATCAATCTATTTGTGAAAAGTCATCTCACCAATCTGAATCACCGTTTCCTCATATGCATGGAAGAAAACTGACCTTTATGGGTTGTTGGGAAGATGAAATAATGCAAACATAAATAAAGCACAAACAGTTGGTTGAGTTCCTGTTCTTTTCTTTATAATCAAGGATTTTAAGCCTCTGTTGTCACTTATTTCCAGAACAAGAACATGGACCACACCCTTCAATACTATGCATGGGCAATTTCTTGTAGACTGAGGCAAATGGCATGAGACTCTGAATGTTCTGGCAGAGAAAAAGAGAATGGATTTGTTAACATAGTGAGATTATGGCACTAACCTGCTGGTCGCTTGGTCAGATTGAGACAGTCTGCATGATAAACTTTTGGGCAGCCAGGCTTCTTACAGGACACAAGCTGGCCAGCATCCCCACAGCTGAAACACTCATCCTCTCGTTCCTTGGTGATTTCACCCTGGCTTCTGCGCTTCCCCTGTTGCTTCTTTTTGAATTTCTTTGACTTTTCTTCTGTGGCAATTGGTTGATTCTAAAGGTCAGATATTGAGCAGTCAGCATTCCATCAACAGATTTTTTATTTTGTGGAAACAGAGTCTTGCTCCGTCACTTTAGGCTAGCTTACAGAGACTTCAAGTTCCTGGACTCAAGTGATTCTTTTGCCTCAGCCTCCCAAGTAGCAGGGACTACAGATACATACCACCATATACAGCTAATTTTTCTTTTTTTTCCTTTTTACAGTTTTTTGGCTGGGTTTGAACCCGCCACCTCTGGCATATGGGGCCGGCACTCTACCCTTTTGAGCCACAGGTGCCGCCCTAATTTTTCTATTTTTAGTAGAGATGGCCCAGCCATTAGTAATAATCTTAACCAGATTAACTATCCTCTTTGAGCCTCAGTCTTTTCTCTGGGAAAATACAATCCTCATAGAATGTTATGAACATAAAACTGTGGTTATCTACGACGGACCAAGTATGATAGCACTCATTACTACTTTCCTATCAACTGCTCCTGCTACCTAAGTAAAATAGAGGACAAAATGTTTTTGTTGACAACAAAACTGATGTTAAATGCTACAACTTTTGTAAATTTCTTTCTTTTTTTTTTAAGAGACAGAGTGCCATTTTGTCGCCCTTGCTAGAGTGCCATGGCATCACAGCTCATAGCAACCTCCAGCTCTTGGCCTTAGGCGATTCTCTTGCCTCAGCCTCCCAAGTAGCTGGGACTACAGGCATCCACCACAACGCCCAGCTATTTTTTTGTTGCAGTTTGGCTGGGGCTGAGTTTGAACCTGCCACCCTCGGTATATGGGGCCTGCGCCCTTACTCACAGAGCCACAGGCACTACCCTGTAAATTTCATTTTAATGTTTGTCTAATTTCAAAGTTATAGAAGACTACTCTGTGTGTGTGCACTCACACTTCTTATGTGTTAGGAAATTGCTTCTCAGTCTTCTGTCTAAGATGAAGTCTATCTGTTATAGGAAGATTCAAAACATTAATAAATAATCCTTGTCATCAAGCACATTAAGCCAAAAGAGGTAAATGCCCACCACTCCCAAGATACACCTTGGCACAGCCAGCAAACCTCTGTATTCACGTAGGCTACACTTGATTACCAAGCCTTGCTCCTTCCTTTTTTAATTTTTTTGAGATAGAGTCTTACTTTGTTGTCCCCTGTACAGTGCCAAGGCATCATAGCTCATAGCAACCTCAAACACTTGGGCTCAAGCAATTCTCTTGTCTCAGCCTCCTAAGGCGCTCAGATTACAGCCCACAACAATGCACTGCTATTTTTGAGAGACAAGGTCTTGCTCTAGCTCAGGCTGGTCTTGAACTTCTAAGCTCAGGCAATCTACCTCCCTCGGCTTCCCAGAGTGCAAGGATTACAGGCATGGTGAGCAACTGCATCTGGCCCAAACCTTGTGGCTTTCATCAGAATATTCATTTTAGCTTAGAAACATACAAGACCAATATATAAGGCTTAATAAAGGTACTTCCTACTCTGACAGGCGAATATTTATTAACATCCCACAGTGATTTCCCATTTCAAATCTTCTGTCCCAGCATTTCTCTCCCAGTGACTCATCTGTGAAATGCTGTCCTACACAGACCTCAAGGGTACAAAAACTGACCTTCCTATTGCACCTAACATCATTAACTGTGGGTTAAACTCAAAATTACTATTTTAATTTATAGGAAAAAAATAACATCTTAAAGAACAAGACCATTAAACCAACCAAACAAAAAGAGAAACCTCATATAAAAATGATATTCCCTATTTAACAAGATAAAACAATATTTAGTGAGTGTTTTTCATTTTCGCGTTACTACTCAAATAATTTTTGGGTTTGATAACAATTTAGATTGAGTGTTCTTCATTTTCGCATTACTGCTCAAATAATTTTTGGTTTTGATAACAATTTAGATTTTTTCAGTTCTTAGTACAGAGGTTTACAATCAATTAACAAATCAAGGGAAATAACCAACTGAAGTCACTGTGTAGTCTACTTTCCATGAAAATTAAACTTCGATTTAGCCTGTGACTTATGAGAGAGAAATCTTGGCGCATCCAGATGTTAAACAGTCACTAAAAATATAGTTGAGATAATTATGTAATGGTAAAGAATGTTATACAATTACAATTCAGTTAAAATGCACTCCAAAAAATCCAAAGTAAGACCCAATGTTTATATACTTTGTTACAATGTTGAGATTAAGAGTCTTACTTTCATCTGTGGTGTTACACTACATTTATACTCTTTAAATTACACATTCGTTAGAATCTTTAGAAAGAAAGAGACAAGTAGGTAAAGATACACCAAGAATCTAAGTAGCTTATTAGGAAATACGAGTGATATAAACTGAAACTAATGAGGTGAGAGGTAACCAAGGAAGTTCCTATTTTACAGCTTTCATAGCTAGAAAGTATTACCAATTAAAGTTAGATTCCTTAAAACACTTGAGCAATTCCCTAAGATCTTTTGTGTAACTGAACTGATTATCAGATTGCCCAATAAGCGGCCAGTGGCCTTATCAATATCTATTCAATGTCATTGTTTCAATGAAATATCTTCTTATATGGAAGACTGAGCCTTAACACTCTGAGACAGAGGGCTGCACCACTATTCCCAATGCAAAGGGCTGGAATGGCAGTACCTTTGGCCTTACACCCAAGAAGCCACTGCAGTTCGGGGCTCCACATTTGCAAACAGTCTTTCCATTCCCAAGACATTCTAGGTTGTAGTTGAAGGTAAGTTCAGTGCCTGTGTAAGAGACCCGTAAAAATATTGATCAATATCTATCGTTTTAAGTCACATTATTTCTTATTACAAAGGATACAAAACTCCAAGAAAACAGATTCAATTTTTAAAATATTATTTCATTATTACTTTTTTTTTTGGAGAGAGAGTCTCACTTTGTCACCCTGGGTAGAATGCCATGGCATCATAGCTCACAACAACCTCAGACTCTGAGCTCAAATGATACCCCTGCCTCAGCCTCCCCAGTAGGTGGGACTATAGACTCCAGACACAATGCCCAGTTAATTTTTCTATTTTTTTAGTGGAGATGGGGTATCTTTCTTGCTCAGCTTGGTTTCAAACTTGTGAGCTCAAGTGATCCATCTACGTCAGCTGTCCAGAGTGCTAGGATTGAGGTGTGAGCCACCATACCTAGACAAAAGATTAATTTTTAAAAGTTAAATTAGTTAAATCCCTTTTCAAAAAGAATTCTTGAAAGGTGATTTAACTAATCCTAGTATATTAAAAAATTATAATCCTATAACATTATTAATCAGCTAATACAACTTAATAACAAAAAAACTTAAATGGCTTAGCAAGTAATATTTAAGATACCTTTTACTACAGAGGTATTAATTTTACTATTGTTTTTTCATTTGTTTTATTCAGATTCAAAGTATATTAATTAGCTATCAAAAACTAACTTACTCTACATGAGAATGTTAGGCACCTGATATGTAAGTATGAAGAAAACCCGTTAGTCTGTCCCACCCTGGTGAACTCACTTTACCTAGGTGGGTACTCAGGAGAAAAGCAGAGTAATACTAGCAGGCTCTAGCCCATAAACTGGCTGTATATCGCAGGTATAATACAACCTCGCTGGAGTAATGTGAACTTTGAGTAGCTAGCTCTTCCTCCCTCCTCCAAACACACAAATAAATGTTTTAGAAACATTTAGAAATAAGTGTATAGAATTTTTCCTGGATTGTATGCAAAGAAGTACAAAAAGTGAAACACTATGGGTTGGTCACAGTGGTTCACAGTGGAAGCCCAAAGCAGGATGACTGGTTGAGTTCAGGAGTTCTAGACAAGCCTGGAACAGCCATTGTTTAAATGGAGAAATAAGAATCTCTCAAGTTTATTGAGAAAACATGATGTATCTCACAAGTTGATTAAGAGAATTTCATAGCAATAATTTGTAAATTAAAAAAAGAGGTATAGGCTCGGCGCCTGTGGCTCAAGTGGCTAAGGCTCCAGCCACATACACCTAAGGTGGTGGGTTCGAATCCAGCCCAGGCCCACCAAACAACAATGATGGCTGCAACCAAAAAAAAAATAGCTGGGCCTTGGGGTGGGCACCTGTGGTCCCAGCTACTTGGGAGGCTGAGGCAGGAGACTTGCTTGAGCCCAGGAGTTGGAGGTTGCTGTGAGCTGTGATGCCACAGTACTCTACCCAGGAGGACAGCTTGAGGCTCTGTCTCAAAGAAAAAAAAAAAAAGAGGTATACAGATTAAGACACAAATTGTCCCGTTTTTGTCGAAGGTTCACTTCATCAAAACTGCATGAGAAGTAAAACATTCAAATTCAAAGCCTATATCTCTAAACCTGATAGGGATATTTTACATAAGTATAAAAAGAGATCGCCTCTGGGTAGGAGTAATTGGCTTACATCTAATGTATGAAATGACAATCATTCATATTCAAAACTGCCATGTATTGGCCAGGTGTGGAAACCAAGTGAGGACAGGAACAATTTTGACACCAAGCTACTGAGCTGAGTGAACATATAAGAGAGAAGTCCATGGAAATGGACTGAAGGGTCAGAGTAGAAGTATGGGAAGGACAGAGGTCTACTTACTTTACAGCATTTTTGTAAGGATTAGATGAGATCATATATTTAGAATAGTATCACTTTAGACTAATATTTATCAAATTATTCCTATTACAAAGCAGAAATCTACACAATTTACTCTTTAGGGGAAACTGAGTCCTGATATTTAAGCATAAGACTCACTTCCTGCTTGAGAGACCTGGAGGATCACAAGAATGGCATGTGGGTTATGTGCATGCAGGAGATCAGAAAACTGGCCCCCAGAGAAGATGTATGTGTGAGGTGTGTGAGATGTATGTGTATGTGTGTGAGATGTATGTGTGAGGTGTACAATTATAGTAGAGATTCTCTAGATTCCAAAGGTCTCTTGATGCTGGAGGCAGAGGTTGTACTCATGATTTGTGGTTTTGCAAAAACAAAGGTAGAGACATATCTGACTTTCTCCATGTCCTCTCTAATCAGTGCTAATGTTGGACAAGCAGATTTGTCTACTTCTTCTCGTAATAGTTCCTTAGGCCCCTAAGCACAGACTTTTGTGTCAATCCTCTTCATTCCTCATGCCAAGACTCTCTTCGGGTGACCCTAAACCCCTTCATACTCTGAAGCCATGAATTCCAAAAACTGAGACTAAGTCAGCACTTTAAAAATCAGTAACATATGGGTGGTGCCTATGGTTTAGTGGGTAGGGCGCCAGTCCCATATACTGAGGGTGGTGGGTTTGAGCACACGCCCGGCCAAACTGCAACAAAAAAATAGCCGGCATTGTGGCAGGCGCCTATAATCCCAGCTACTAAGGAGGCTGAGGCAAAAGAATCACCTAAGCCCAGGAGTTGGAGGTTGCTGTGACCTGTGTGATGCCATGTCATTCTACCGAGGGCAATAAAGTGAGACTCTGTCTCTACCAAGAAAAAAAAAAAATCAGTAACATTTAGTTAAGCAGAGGAGCAGTGCATAGTGGTGCTCAAGTGTTGTTTAATCATTTAATACTTTATGTGAAGTAAATGTAAAACAGAGAAAAAAACTATTTTTTTAAATCTAAAAACTGTCAAAATGTTGAAAATTCCAAAAAGTCTAAAAGACTCCTAGGCAGCATATTTAATACTGGGTATGGAAATGCAAGAAGTCCCACCAGACTACATTTTAAAAATACACAAAAACAGAACAAGAGCTAACCACATTGCCTTTTTTCTTTTGTCGCCCTCAATAGCAACCTCAAACTCTTGGGCTTAAGTGATTCTCTTGCCTCAGCCTCCCACCACAACGCCTGGCTATTTTTTTAGAGACCAGGTCTCACTCTGGCTCATGCTGGTCTCAAACTCATGAGTTCAGGGTATCCACCTGCATTGGCCTTCCAGAGTGCTAGGATGCCAGGTGTGAGCCACTGTACCTGGCCTTACCATATTGCTTTTTAATAATTTTATCTTGATTAATGCTTCCTGAGGACAACACTAGGCAAAAGAGAACTTAAGTGTTATTCTACAATGCTCACACGGGATTTTCTGCTTCAACAGTAATTGTATAATACATACTACCTAGGCTAGTTCCACCTCAATTTAAGTATATATTTAAGTATAAGAGAGTGCTCTTCAAGTGTTTTGCTCCTGTCCCCACAAAGCTCATTTCGAAAAACCATATAATTTCTTGGGCATTTCAAAATTCACAAATTTTACACCGGCCTTAATATTTTAAAAGTCCCACAATACATAAAATAGGTTTTGTTTCTAACCATTAAACCACTAAGGATTACAGTGGTTTTATCCAAGCCTTGGAGCTATACATTAAGATCTTTTAATTTATGAAAAATATACATTATATAATTTTACTATCAAACCACTCACCATATGATATTTACTTTCACTTTAAATAAACATCTTATTACTTAATCTGGTTACAGTCACCTCAGTATTCTAATTCTTAGAGACACAGGCACCCAGATAGGCCATGACAGAACAATGAATTCTCTAGCATCTACTTCTTTGGCACCCTAGAGGTGAAGGTTGCTTTGTTCTTTCTTTCTTTCTTTTTTTGTAGAGAATCTTACTTTATCACCCTTGGGAAAGTGCCATGGTGTCACATAGCTCACAGCAACCTCCAACTCTTGGACTTAAGCGATTCTCTTGCCTCAGCCTCCTGAGTAGCTGGGACTACAGGCGCTCGCCACAATGCCCAGCTATTTTTTTGTTGCAGTTTGACCGGGGCTGGGTTTAAACCCACCACCCTCGGTATATGGGGCTGGTGCCCTACCCGCTGAGCCACAGGTGCCACCCAAAATCCAAGAGTCATTATTTTTTTTCTTTTCCAGTTTTTGGCCGGGGCCGGTGCCCTACTCCTTGAGCCACAGGTGCTGCCTGTGAAGGTTGCTTTTTTTGTTTGTTTTTAATAGCCTTGGGTCCAAAACCCTTAAGATTTCAGTAAGTAAGGGGTGAATTTTTGGTTCACATGATGGGAGAAAATCACTTGTAGAAAACAGATCTGGAGAGTTTCTAAGCAGACCAATTATTGGAGTTAAAAGGAGTTAACTCCAATTATTGGAGTTAAAAGTTAAAGGTCTGGGAATTTATTTCATTAAAACTTTCCATGCCCAACCTTGAAGCATTATGCTAAGAGGAATGAACCAGTCACAAAAGGACAAATATTATATCATTTCATTTATATAAGGTACTTAAAGTAGTCAAATTCAGAGACAGAAAGTAGAATGGTAGTTGTCAGGGGCTGTGTGGAGAGGAGAATGAGGAGTTAGTGTTTAATACATACAGAGTTTCTGCTAGGAAAGATGATTAAATAATGATGTAAATGACCTAACAGGCCAGATAGAGGCCATGACGACAGCCCAGCCCAAACCGCTGGGTTCAAGCAATCCTCTTGCCTCAGCTTCCTAAGTAGCTGGGACTAAAGGAACCTACCACAATGACTGGCTAATTTTTTCTATTTTTAGTAGCGACCAGATCTAGTTCTTGCCTGGGATGGTCTGGAACACCTGATCCTCCCACCTCCTTCTCCCAGAGTCCTAAGATTATAGGTGTGAGCCACTGCGCCTAGCCAATAAACTAAATATTAATGCCAGAGAACTGTACACATGGAAACAGTAAAAATTACAAAGCTTATGTAATATGTGTTTTATTACACCAGGAAAAAAAAAAAAATTATAAGCTCTAAAGTCTTTGTGTGTCCTTAGGAGTTTGTAAGCTTCACACATTGGCATGCAGAACAAAAGGGATTTTTAGATGATAAAATCTGAAATTCACATCTTAGCTACAGAATCTTTAAATTATTCTTACCTGCTTTAATATCACTCAAGGCAAAAAGGCCAACACGGGTATCTCCATTCACAGACCACTTCTGTGTTTCACAATTGGGCTGGCAGCAATGATTCATGAACCGAGCATAGTTTCCTTTGGGACCAGCATCAATAATTCGGTCCTAGAATTCCAAGAGAAGCTGCTTATCAGACGATGTCATCACGGCTTTTGATTAAAATTTGACTAGTCTAGTAAGGTGAAATTTCGATTTGTGGGGTTTGAATCTCCCAATAGTGATTTTCAGTGTAATCCATGGATCAGAAGAACACTTCCTAACAGCAAGTTTTAGGAATACAAATTCCTGGGCTATGCTTTAGATACATGAAAGCACAAACTCTATGGTGGAGTGTAGTAATCTGAGTTATATCAAGCCCACCAGATAATTCAGATTTACGTGGAAAACTGAGGACCACTACTAAAGAAGTGGCAACTTGTCCCATCCTCTCATTAGAAAGTTTTTGACCAGGATGCACAACAAAAATCACCTAAAAATGTAGAGGCAAAGTCCTTAACCCAGTCTAGATCTGGAAGTACGGATGTCATAGTCATTAAGCGTACAACTTGAAAAATGTTTACAAAGGCAAATACCAGGAAATGCTCTGTTATAAAAGCTAATAGATGAGAAGGGGGGAGGAACCCTAATATTCAGCTACAAATAGGAATCGCAGATGCTCTAGGATACTGGAAAAAAACACTAGGACACTAGAATTAGGAATATGTTCCAAATACAACTCGAATGAAATAAAACTCTTCAGAAAATTCCTAAAATTAGGCGGCACCTGTGGCTCAGTGAGTAGGGTGCAGGCCCCATATACCAAGGATGGCAGGTTCAAACCCGGCCCTGGCTAAACTGTAACAAAAAACAGCCGGATATCTGTAGTCCCAGCTACTCTGAGGCTGAGGCAAGAGAACTGCCTAAGCCCAAGAGTGGAGGTTGCTGTGAGCTGTGATGCCATAGCACTCTACCCAGGGTGACAAAGTGAGACTGTTTCTTAAAAAGAAAAAAAGAAGGCTCAGCACCTATGGCTCAACCGGCTAAGGCGCCAGCCACATACACCTAAGGTGGCGGGTTCGAATCCCCAGCTCGGACCCGCCAAACAACAATGACGGCTGCAACCAAAAAATAGCCGGGCGTTGTGGCGGGCGCCTGTGGTCCCAGCTACTTGGGAGGTGGAGGCAGGAGACTCGCTTGAGCCCAGGAGTTGGAGGTTGCTGTGAGCTGTTTGCCACGGCACTCTACCCAGGAGGATAGCTTGAGGCTCTGTCTCAAAAAAAAAAAAAAAAAAGAAAGAAAAAGAAAAAAAGAAAGAAAAGTCCTAAAATTAGAAAAATGACTTCAGTTCACAAATTGGATTCTACAATCAATTTATATGATTTACTAATGTAGTAACTAAATATTAACAAATGTTTCTCAATCTACACAATAAAAGAGTAAAAGAATGAATATTGGCTTCTTTTGCTTCCACTTTCAATCATATAAGAAAATGTTAAAAGATATAATCTCTAATTTATACTAAATCATTTAAAAATAATGCTAAAAGCAGCTTTTTTTGCCTTTGGCCAGAGATCAATTTTATATACTCCAGAACACTAATCAAGTCATTCCCACGGATAAAGGAAAAGACCCTGCTTTGGGCAATGCATGAAATGCCTACAAATACCATGCCTGGAACAGCACAAATCTCACAATCTTCTAACAGTGAAAACAGACTTTCCATTACTTACTTTGTCTAAGGTGAGCATATAGAAATTAGTGATATCATGTTCCTGGGCATAACGGATTCGAGCTCTGCATTCTTCTTCATCTATTAGCTCACCCACATACTCATTCACAAATTCACCCTAGAACAAGAAATAACTCCTGACATAATGGCAAAAGCATATTGGCGTTCACATGTACACTTAATTTTAAAAAAATTCATGCAACTATTATTTGGGTTTTTTTTAAGACAGAGTCTTAAGCTGTCACCCTGAGTAGAGTGCCATGGTGTCACAGCTCACAGCAACCTCAAACTCTTGGGCTTAAGGAATTCTCTTGCCTCAGCCTCCCAAGTAGCTCGAACTACAGGCATCCACCACAATCCCTGGCTATTTTTTTTTTGGTTGTAGCTGTCATTGTTGTTTGGCAGGCCCAGGCTGGATTTGAACCTGCCAGCTCCAGTGTATGTGGCTAGCTCCCTAGCCACTTGAGCTATAGACACTGAGCCAAAACATTAATGAAAATACCAGAGTCTCCAAAGAAGATTACAAGCATATAATGATATATAATTGGCTTCTTTATGATGCCTCAACTATTTGATGATGAGAACCAACTCCCCACTCCCACCTCTGCCACCAAAATAAAGATTAAGATAGGGTGGCGCTTGTGGCTCAAAGGAGTAACGTACAGGTCCCATATGCCAGAGCTGACGGGTTCAAACTTAGCCCTGGCCAAAAGAAAAAACTGCAAAAAAAAGATTAAGATAAACCAGACACTAAGAATGGAGAACAGTAAGTAAACTAAAGCTTCTTTATAATGTAAATATGGATGGTCAATTCCTCTGCCTGCCCAAGAGCATGACATCAGTTTCCCTAAAGTATGTTATCTACCCTAAGCTGCCCTGCCTACCACCACTCATGTTCTATAACACATACTCCCTACTCCAATAGTAACACTGATTTTCACGCATACAGTGCCATTACCTGCAAAGTTTTAGTGCTCATTTTCCTGAGTCAATAGTGATTCAGTGTCTAACTCTCAAAATATCCTCAGAGAAGAGTTAGTTTTAGGTTCCTTGCCACATACTTCCAGAGCCCTTTATGCTCACAATTGGGTGATGATTTATTCAACAGCTTGCCCTCTCTAAATGCAAATGTATGAAGATATGGACCATGGCACCTTATTGATTACTGCATCCTTAGCACAATGCCTGGCACATAGTAGCTTATATAATAACTAGCTGGCAAATGACCAACACATATTCAGTGCCATTCCTAGAAAGAAATTTCAATAAAACCTTTCACAGCTTGGCGCCTGTGGCTCAAGTGGCTAAGGCACTAGCCACATACACTTAAGGTGGTGGGTTTGAACCCAGCCCGGCCCACCAAACAACAATGATGGCTGCAACCAAAAAAAACAGCCAGGCGTTGTGGCAGGTGCCTGTGGTCCCCGCTACTTGGGAGGGAGAGGCAGGAGACTTGCTTGAGCCCAGGAGTTGGAGGCTGCTGTCAGCTGTGATGCCACAGCTCTCTACCCAGGGGGACAGCTTGAGGCTCTGTCTCCAAAAAAAAAAAAAAAAAAAAAAAAACCCTTTAAAAAGTATAACTTCAGGAAGGCTTTTGTTAAATTAAAATGTCAAATAACATTTATTTTACATAAAAACTATACAATACCATCTATTTATTAGAAACTTTCAGGTCTTGCCAAGTTTCAAAATGAAAATGTTACTGCATTTTCACTCAATAAGGCCTAATACTCTTTTCCTTCCTTTTCCATGAAACCAGACCTATTTTTGGCCCTCTTAAGAATATTTTATTAGTAGATGGACAATGCTTCTGTATAATGTGCTTACTATCCCATCTATCTTAACCACAGATTCAAGGATATCCAGTGAAAAGTTAACAAACCATAGCTTCTTTATGGATTTCCCTCTTTTTATCCTACCCGCAACATAAAGAACATGATCAAAGACTTTAGAGATAAAAGACACCATGTATTCTCAACCCTCTAGGCCAAGGGTCCTCAAACTTCAGCCCGCGGGCCACATGCAGCCTGCCTAGGGCATTTATCTGGCCCACTGGGTGTTTTTGCCACCAGTGCCTGTCCTGCTTAGCAGCCAACTTGTCCCAGGCCCGCAATCCGGCCCTCCAATGGTCTGAGGGACAGTGAACTGGCCCCTGTTTAATAAGTTTGAGGACCCCTGCTCTAGGCTATAAAAAGTTCTGGCAAGACACAACATGATAAATTATATTATTTTCCACGGTGGTGAATTTTCACACATTCATCAAGAAGAACTGATCTTGTTAATCAACTGAAAAGAAGGGGAAAAAATTAGCTCACTAAAAAAGGTTTTCTCACCTTTTTAATATCTGTTTTTGTCCGTAGACCCCAACCCCTCTGTAATGTGCGGAATATTTCCACCTCTGGATATTGGCGCTTAGAAAAGCATTGGTTCTGACAACGTCCTCCAGCAGGACACACTGTAGGGTGGCACTCATAGAGCAGCATGCGGTTGATGCACTCAGAGTCTATCCCACAGGGGTTCTCATCAGTAGCTTTACAGTTGCAACGGGGAATTTCGGACAAGTCTGCAGTGAAGATCTGTACCCTGCCAATAGGACGATTTACCTGGAAAACAAGCACACAGTAAAGTACATCATCCAAGTCAACGTAAGATAACTCAGGCTCAGTAGAAGGAAAATTACCAGGAGATGTATGTCACATTTCAGATAACTTTGAACTACTGAGATTCAGGCAGCTGGATAAAAAAATAAAGCCTTATTGAATCAGCCCCCATAGCACAATGGGTATAGCACCAGCCACATACATGGAGGCTGGTGGGTTCAAACCCAGCTGGGGCCACCTAAACAACAATGACAACTGTAAAAAAAAATTGCCAGGCATTGTGGTGGGCACCTGTAGTCCTAGCTACTTGGGAGGCTGAGGCAAGAGAATCGCTGAAGCCCAAGAGTTTGAGGTTGCTGTGAGCTGTGATGTCACAGCACTTTACTAAGGGGGACATAGCGAGACTCTATCTCAAAAATAAAGAAAAAAAAAGCAGTTTATAGAAAGGTATCAATAAATACTAAAATGTCCAATAAATTTGTTATTCACTGCAAATTATTTCTACAAATTACTGATACAGCATAGATATATTAAAAAATGGCTTGGCACCTGTAGCTCAGCAGCTAGGGCACCAGCCACATAAACCAGAGCTGGTAGGTTCAAATCTAGCCTGGGAATGCCAAACAATGACAACTACAACCAAAAAAAACACTGCACCTATAGTCCCAGCTACTTGAGAGGCTAAGGCAAGAGTATCCTTTAAGCCCAAGAGTTGGAGGTTGCTGTGAGCTGTGATGCCACGACAATCCACCCAGGGTGACAGCTTGGACTGTCTCCAAATAAATAAATAAATAAATAAAAAATAAAAAATAGACAAAGTCTACTGGTACACAGATGATAAATGGTGATGACAATTTGCCAGGTAGAACAAGGTTAGATACACCTCCCATTAAGTCTCTTAGATTTGGTTACCTAAAACATCTTCAGCACTAATTTGAGGCTATTTATCATTTTTCATCACAGCTCTTTGGTTTCTTTCAAATACAAAATATTCTGTAAATAGAATCTAATCCCCTCATATTAGAGGACTTTCTAAAGCAGTAGAAAAAATACTGCAATATACTAGAAATGGTGCTGTGATACTTTTATCCTATCTTTTTTTAAGCTCATACCTCTCCCTGAATAAACACAGCTGTGTTTGTGCTTCCATTCTTACCATGTACAAAGTGAGAAGAGGTTAAGCTATGTAGTGTCTCTCTTGGAGATAGTCTCCAATGATTTTGTCTCACCTTGATATGTTTATAAGGAGGTGGCTTCTTATCATTCTTTCGGTCTTCTTGCAGCTGTCTCAGTTCTTTTTGGGCCTTTAACTCCTCAAACCTTGCTGCAGCTTCCTGGAGAGCTAAGAAAGTACACAGTACCAGTCACATAAAAATCTCTAGATGAAGTCATTTTGCTTTTATTACCCTCCCTTCAGTTGGAGAAGTCCCATGTTATTTTTTTTTTTTATTTTTGGAGACAGAGCCTCATGTCACCCTGGGTAGAGTGCTATGGCATCTCATAGCAACCTCCAACTCCTGGGCTCAAGCAAGTCTCCTGCCTCCACTTCCCAAATAGCTGGGACTACAGGTGTCTGCCACAACGCCCAGCTATTTTTTTGGTTGCAGCCATCGCGGTTGTTTGGCAGGCCTGGGCTGGATTCAAACCCGCCAGCTTAGGTGTATATGGCTGGTGCCTTAGCTGCTTGAGCCATAGGCGCCAAGCTGAAGTCCCATGTTTTAGACAAAACTCAGCCAACATCATATGAAAAAGAATACATATGACACCTATGTTCATATATATTATGAAATCAAGGGTATTAAAGACATGGCATTAAGAGAAAATATAGGCTCGGCACCTGTGGCTCAAGCGGCTAAGGCGCCAGCCACATACACCTAAGGTGGCGGGTTCGAATC